TTATTAAAAACTTCGGTATTATCCGAAGTCTGAGTCACGCAGTACGCCCTGCGTACACGAGTACGCCCACGTACTCAAGGCCTTGGCCTCGGATCGTCCACGTCGCCCTATGCGAGCCTACACTCCCCCCCCCCCCGTCCCATCCGAAGTTCGAGGCAGTCGAGGACTCGGTCATGCGTGACGTACGCGTACGCCCCGCGTACCGAGGCGGTTCCAGCCTCCTATAAAAGGGATGCGAGGGTTCCCGGAAAAATTGCTCATTCTCTCTCACTTTTCTTGCATTTTGCCTCGTTTTTCATGCTCGCACTACCCCGAAGCCCTGGTCATTTTGTGCAAGTCCCGAAGGTCGATTTTACTCCCGAGAAATCCTGAGAAAATCCGCCTTTTCAAGCCAAAGTTCTGCTCGATTTTCGTCACACCTTCTTCAATCAATCAAGTGAGTTCATACCCCTTTCAAACACACTTTAAATACATTTTAAATGCTTTTATACTCTTTAAGGGGGGGAATACAAGTAAACATACGGTTATTTTCGTGTATTTTATAAAGTTTCACTTCACTTGTTTTATCGAATAAATCACTTGAAATTCCTTAATACTATGGGAAACTCTTGCCATACATTGCATGCATTGGACTTATACAAAATATATATAGTGATTTCAAAGTACCTTTCATTGCTAAGTCGTTTTATACATTCTAAAAACTTATGATTTTTGCTTTGTCAAACATAGTGAAAAAGGATAAACTTTGCATACAAAACTATCACCTTAATGCGGACTTAGTTGAGACTCCATGAGATGTGTATATCTTCAAACACTACTTTTCTTTATTAGAAAGTAATGCTGCAAGTCCTGTCTCTAACCAGAGTCTCCTGTTCGGAGAACGTGTTAAATGTGTATAGATCTATACGGGAAGTCATGATCCCGCGCCCTGACTGTTAGCTACAGTCCGTCCTTTGGGGTGACTGTTGTCATAACGCTGCGGCGCCTGAAGAACGTCGCTACAGGCATATTATGTTTAGTATGGTTATAAAACTCATCGGATATTCAATTATTATGGTATTATGCTTTTATGAACGAGTAGCTATTAAAACTATTCTTCATCTAGCAAATGCGATCTTCGTATAGCTTTATTATATAAAACTATGACACAACTTTTAAGAACGTCGGATGCTTGCGATTTCCGGTCTTAGAGACTGCCAGTTATGTTAGGAAAATAAGGGTTCTTTCCTGTATACAAACCAAACAACCAATAGGAAAATAAGGGATTTTCCTGGTGCAATTATTTACGACTTATAACACGAACATTCATATGCATTTCATACTTTTATAAGAAAATAAGGGGTTTTCTTGGAAAAACATACACGAACTTTCGAATGGCGTACATTTTCTCAAAATAATACTCATGAACTCACCAACTTAATTGTTGACACTTTCTCTTTGAAATAACTTGTATTCTCAGGGAACCGCTAAGCAGATTGGAAATCAACTTTTGGGGATTAATGTACTGACGTTAATTACTTCTTTTGAAAGATGTTTATGTATTTAACTTTTGAACATGTAACGAATACAATTATGTAAACATTTGGGAAACTTTAATATATATATATATATATATATATATATATATATATATATATATATATATATATATATATATATATATGGTGGTGTGTACTTTCCTTTCTATGAACTGTTATGATACTAAATATGACGTCCTCCGCCCCCGAACGTTTCTGCCGTTCTGGTTTGGGGGTGTGACAGAAGCAAACTGCATTATTTTCTAAATTGGAATTTTTCGTGTGTAATTCTTTTATTTCAAAAGTTGAACTTAAAACCATTAATATTTCTCTTGATCATGCATATTGGGTTCAAGTGATGCAAGAAGAAATTAATGAATTTGATTGAAACAAAGTGTAGAGATTATTTCCTACTATTTTAGATGCATCTGTGGTCGGTGTGAAATGGGTGTTCAAAAATAAGATGGATAAAGAAGGAAATGTCATTCGCAATAAGGTACGTTTGGTCATTAAAGGTTATTGTCAAGAAGAGGGAATCGATTACGAAGAGGCGTTTTCACCTGTGGCTAAACTTGAATCAGTTCGGATATTTCTCATCTATGATGCTCACAAAAACTTTGAAGTTTTTAAAATGGATCTTCATTGTGCATTTCTGAACGGAGAACTTGAAGAAATAGTCTATGTTGAAAAACCTCCAGGTTTTATGAACGAAAAATTTCCAAATCTTTGTAACATTATGAATAAAGCAATATATGGTCTTAAACAAACTCCGAGGGCGTGTTATGAAAAACCAACTCGTTTTCTTAAACAATCTTAATTCAAACAAGGTTCTGCTGATCCTACCTTCTTTCGGAAGAATGAGGGTAACCATTTATTGATAGTTCAAATTTATTTTGATGACATTATTTTTGGATCAACTAATCCCAACTTAAGTGCTTAATTCTGAAAATTAAGGGAAACAAAATTTGAAATGGCTTCTGTGGGTTAAATGAACTTTTTTCTTAGCTTAAATATACGACAAATTTCGGAGGGAATATACATCAATCAACAAGACTTCATAAAAATGTTATTGGCAAAATTCATAATGGTGGGTGATTCAAAAGTCAAAGTCCTTATGGTGTGTAGAATGAGACTCACAGTCTCTTGATAAACGAGCAGTGGATATCACCTTGTTTCGTCATATGATTGGATCACTGTTGTATTTAACATCCAGTCGTCTTGACATAATGTTTGTTGTGTGTTACTATGCCAGGTTTCAAGCAAATCCTCTTGAACCTAACAGGTTGGCAGTTAAGAACATATTCTCGTATCTTGGGTGAACTACTTCTCTTGGTTTATGGTATCCATCAAATTCTGGATTCTTTGTGCAAGTGTACTCCGATGCTAACTTAAGAGGTTGTGGTCTTGATATGGAAAGCACATCAGGTGGATGTCACTTTCTGGATGGAAAGCTCATTAGTTGGAATTCTAAGAAGCAAACCTGTGTATCCTTATATACAACAGAAGCATAGCACATTACAGCAACATCATGTACGTCCCAAGTGGTGTGGATTCATAACTACCTAAGCGACTATGGAATCAATGTGAAAAAAATTCCATTATATTTTGTTTCCAAAAGTGCCATACGAATTTGCCACAATCCGGTGCAACACTCCAAGACAAAGCATATAGCACTGCGATACCACTTCGTAAAGGATCATGTCGAAGATGGAAATATAAAAGTTCATTTTTTAGATCTTCAGATCAGTTAGCAAATATCTTCATGAAGGCCTTACAAGAAGCCTCATTCAATCGGATTCTACAAGGGTTGAGAATGATTGAAGCTGACTTAGTTGCGAAATACATTTCGTAATCGTTAAAGTTACTATAGCATTCTGAATGGTTCCGATCTTCGGAAGCTATCAAAATTTACTGTTCACTTCCGAATTATTCCAAGCTTCGGAATGGTTCTGAAGTAACTGTTCATTCTGATTTCGGATTTTTCTATCTTTGTAAGTCTTTTGTTCTTTTTGTTTATTTATGTTTTGTTCTTTTAAGAAAATCAAAATTCTAAAAATATTTTATTTGTTTCTATATTTTCTTTTCAAAAATTCAAAAATATTTTCTTCTTTTTAGTGTTCTGAAAAATCAAAAACATCAAAAGTATTTTCCTATCAAAGAATTTAAATTCATTTCTGAATTTTAGACTGTAACAAGGAATTGATGGTTGGTGTCATAACTTCTGTCTACCATATCTTATCTTAATTTCCACGTAGTCCCTTGATTATTGGAAAAAAACCCTGTTTCGGTATACGGCTACAAAAACTCTAATTAATGATCACAAAATCATTGTCAACATGATTTTCGTGAAACTCCCAACCATTCAACTCTGAATCTATTATTCAACATCGTAACACTTAAGACTCTCAATTTATACCACTAAGGTTTAGGTTACAAAACTTCTGTGTTTGTGATCTTGAAATCATTTTTACCATGATTTTGAGTGCAACCCAAAACTCCGAATAGCTTTTTTGAATTAATGGTGAACAATTTTTATTGTTCTAGATATTTACATAATGAATTGATGGTGAACAAATCTTTTTTCTAGTTATTTTACCCACTGAATTGATGGATAAAACCATTTGATTTGTACCATTTCATGTTCGAGATCTCATTTTTTTTATTGTGTGATCTTAATGAAATGTTCTCGACCCAAGTCATTTCTTCCCAAAAGATCCATGTTTTTTTATATTTCGAATATATATACAGTTACTTTAAAAGAATATCCAAAGCTTACTTGTTTTTATGGCTACACTAGTCAAACAAGTACTTTCTTTCAGATCTTTGGACTTATGTTAAGTTTCAGAATTTGTTAGAAGCTAAAACCACCCTTTAAGCCTTAATAAAAGAATCCTTTCATAGTTTCTTCACAAACTGATGATCATAATATAACGGGAAACCACACAAGCACTTCAGAGTCTCTCTTAACTTAGAAGGAAGGGATCGATAAATGGGATCCACCAGCTTCTAGTATCAAAATTATTTGATATCACAGAATCGTAAACATTAAATTTGCTTTATTTATTTTTCTTTGGCACACTCTTGCACTAAAATCCTTGTGATTTTAAAAAGTATGGTTTCCTTTCTGATTGGTTACTTTATTTCTGAAGAACAAAGGGTAGATCAAAGATTCTGATAGAGGAAATTCTGAAAAGTCCTTGTCCCCATAAATGAAAATTCAAATCATGGAGCAACTTTTGAATTTCCATGACATGAGCGTGTTTGTTACAACGGCCGTTGACACATGATTGATGAGCTGGCTATTTATTATTGGCTAATTTTTTGGAACTTCAGGAACGTGAAACAGTTGTTTCTATCTATGCCCATCATATTCCATATAAAAGGCTCTCAAACGGTTCATTCTCTCTCACCGCAAACACTGCTCATAAATTTTGAAAGCAAAAGCAACAACCCTGTAGTATTCATCTTCTTCGTCAAACTTCCATGGCGCCTTCAGAGCAAGTTTCATTCGCTGATCAATCTGCATCTGTGATCAAGTTGGCTATTAAAACAAACCAAAATCTCATCATCGAACTTGATTCGTCTCGGTACAATGGGTTGATCAGACTTATGATTGAATATTTATGTAATGCGCCACCATTGATGAAGGCTGTAACAATAGTTGAAGTTGATCCCCTGGTTCATCTATCAAAAGCTTTCTATATTTTGATTTACATCAAATTTGAAGATGTAATTAATTTTTAGGTTTCCAACCTCAAAACATCTATCATAAAGCCCAACTTCTGTAAACTTCTAGGACTTGTTATTCCAGAAGTTAGTGTCGATCCTGAATCGATTCCAGTAACTTACTTGATTGATATGTTTTTCCAAATGGGGTACAATGGTGATATTTCTCTGTTATCAAAGTTTAGAAAATCCTTCTTGTCGCCGATGTAGAATGGGTTGTTTACTCTCTTGTTCAAAAGCCTTTCAGAAAGGGTTTCCGGATCTGATAGTGCCAACAAGCTGTTCTATAGTTTGATCTATGATCTCTACCATGGAATCAACTTGGACCTTGGGTCTGCTATTTGCGCTCAATTTGTCCAAAGCACTACTTCATCTGCATGACACACAGAGATTTATCGTGCCTGGTTCTAGTCTATTGTTGTAAACCGAGCCCTAACTCACTTTAAGGTTACCCTGATGCACGACTCTCTCATGGATGAAATTCCAACACTCCAATGAATACATTCGGCATGTCAGATCCACGAAAAATTTACTTTTTTGTCTTAATCCTGGATGCATTGCTGGAAAAAGTTTCGTTGGACGATGCCATTATAAGGGTTATCGGAAAATGCTCTCTTCTGGTGTTTGTCCCATCCTAACGGAATTACAAAAGATCATAAATGAAGTGATAAACCTAAGAGCGGAGGGAAGAGGAAAGAAAAGGTTGCTATTTTAGAAAGCGTCATAATTCCAAAGAGGGCAAATAAACAAGTTCAGAAACCAAGATCTCCATCTCCGATAATTCAAGAGGAATTCGAAGAGAGAACAGTAACAGAAGTTTGGTCGGATAACACACTCCAAAATGAAGAAGAAGATATCGCTCACACTTCTGAGACAACACCTATTGATACACTTCTGAGACATTCCTACATTAGATATTTTTGAAACTATTCTACGATAACCATTTATGAAGCTTAACACTACACCTCCACCACCTCCATTCAATCCTCCAACATTACCAATGTCAACCTCAACTCTCACCTTATATATTTCGATATCATCCATCCCTCCACTCCCACAAAAAGTGTTGTATAAACTTCACTTCCTCAGGTTTCAGTCCAAATTTCCTCACCCATCTTCACAAACTATATAGTTCCTACAACTTCATCTGTTTCTACTTCGCCAAATACCAACATTGATGTGAGTTCAGAACAACCTTCCTCTTCGGTTCCTCCAGAACATGACGATGCTGACATCTTTTTTGGAGATGATGAAGAACCGATTGCGGATTTTGTCTTTCATCCATCCTCTGTTAATTTCGCCAGTGATGATGACGAAGCGCCTATGATGAAATGCCAATTCAAGCAGTTGAATGAGAAGCTTGATTCAATATTGGAGTATTCACAAGCCTTCTCTTCCATGAAATGGGAAAATCTTCTCACAACCTATCGAGCAACTATGGAACTGATCACATCTTCCAATGCCAAAGTCATTGAAGAATCAACAAAAGCACCTCAAGCTTCCCAAAAGAGAATCTCAGAATCTACTGAAAAAGTCCAACAATTATAAAAAGAAGTGAAGGAATTCATGGCTGACTTCAGGACCTCTTTTGTTAAGAACTCCATTACAACGATCTTGATAGTCCCAAAGTGCTCTGGTATTTTCTCCCATATAGTTAGAAACAACCTCCCCACAAAGGATCTCCCTAACCTGATCCTCAGTCAATCCTAGCCCATCTTGGTCACCTGCTCTTACTCCTAATCCGAATCCTAACTCAAATCGCCTCATAACCACCATACTGAAAATAATCCAAGGAGATATCAGAGAAAATGCATATCATAACAAAGGAACTAAATCCCAACAAACCCTAGGGGATGTGACTTCACTACTACGCCCACGTGTTAGTGCTTCCGGTAATACGGGCCCTTACTAACTTCCACACTTACCCGTATTTGTCTCAAAGGATCTTCACAACAACCCTAGTATCACTCACTAGAATACACATACAACCTATTCTCACTTCCTAGAGAAAGGCAAGACATCCCTGGACTGGTTGGATGACCCCACATAACTTATCCATGAAACTTCCACCAACCCTGTAACACTCGTTAATGGTAATCATACATAACATTGGATCTTATAGACAGTCGAATATTGGATTCTACCCTAAGCCCAAAAACAAAAAAGGAACAATAAATAAGGCTAAATCAGGCATTTTCAAGCTATAAAATCCTAGTTATGTACAATTTTGATTTATACACCAAGCAACAACAGTAATGATGTCAATTCCATATAAGAATGAAACCCAAGGCTACCAGGCATCATATAATCTGGAAATTCTATCATGCAATTCCTGAAGATCCCTAGCCTAGAACTAGTATGTTGTTCTAACATATAACAATATCAAATAAATGTGTGGTAACTTGCAGAAACTTTCTTGCTCCGGATGACCGTACAAATGGCCTCCTTCATTGGTTTCTTTTGAAAACAATTTTAAAAATCGTATTTTGAAAACTTTTACAGATCCTTAGTTTGAGTATGGATTTACACGTTTGTTCATCTAATTCGCTCAAACCAGGGATCTGATACCAACTTGTACAGTCCCAAAAATCACAACAAATTTAAACTTTTAAAAATAAACCAAAGTCATAATTTATTTACAAAATCATTGTTTCCAAATTGTTTATCCATAGCAGAGTATCCAAAAATCATAAATCCATAAACAGAGGATGTGTACTGTCACACCTTCGCCTTCCCACAATCATTAGAAGTACCTGAAACAACAAAACTAAAATCGTAAGCCAAAGGTTAGTGAGTTCCTGCAAAGTACCACCACAAAAAACCCATATAATAAACGAACAAGCATGTTGGGTCCAATTAGTCATCAAACTAGAATACCCACGGATCCACAGCTATTGGGTTGAATTACACCTTCCTGGCCCAATCAGTCATTAGACAGGATTGCTAATATACAACATGTCCACTCACTCATCAGACTAGAATACCTATATACAGCGGGCTTACTCAGTCATCGGACTAGAATACCCTGGGGTCCACTCAGTTATTAGACTAGAATACCTCGGTATATTGACTCATGCACAAAGTATTGAAGTCTCAACCTAACACAAGATGTCAACAGATATTAGATAAACATATAACTTGTTAACAGAAACAGACAGATCTACAAATCACTATCACATGCTAACATCCTATATACCAAGATACCGATAAGATAGATCTAGACAACAGAATCACATACTATTATATAACAGGATATCCAATCCAATGGGTCAACCTTAATGCCTTTGACCTACAAGTACAGTGAGGAAGATTCACTTTACAGCCTGACTAAAACTGGTCAAAACTTTGATCCCGAATACATGATCCACCAAAGTTCTAAATCTTAAAATATTTCCCATTAATAAAATAATCACAATTTCCTAAATTACCCTTGGTCAAACTTGGTCATAACTACAAGTCAACTTAGTCAACCCATTTGAGTCAACTCAGCCGAGTCGACACAAAACGCGTATATGGGGCGTACTCTAGAAGTACACACGACATACTCAAATCTTGACCGCAAACTAGAGGGTTGATCGCGTACGTGCTGTGTACTACATGTTACACAGGGCGTACGCCCAGACTTCTTGAAACTTCATTAAGAGTTTAATGCCTTAAGCTCTTACATTAGATTTTTAGATCTTAGGCCAAATTATCCTCAAGAGTCATAAAGTTTTCAAATTTATGAATTTGCATGTCCATTAAGTGCCCAATAGCCAAAGTACATCTTAATGCATTAAGAAGCTATAAAGAATGCATGGAGCAAAACTAACCATCAAAACCACATTTCTATGACTCAAGACCCATCCTAAGGTTTGAAAGGATGACTTATTTGGTCAACAACATGTCATGCTCAAGAATCACCATTTTGGGACAAAAAGTAACTTAATGGATTGAAATGTCTAGATCTACAGGATGGAGTGATAAAGTTTCAAGCTTTATACCTTCTGGAGGTTACAAAAAAGAAGGGAATCTCAGATCCAAAACGCTACCAACTTCCAAGCTCTTCTCACCACCTTCCACTTCTTCCAACACACCTCCAAAACACTCTTAAGGTTGTAAAATTGGTTTTTCTCACTTAGGGTTGCTTGAAAACGTTTTTCATAGAGGGAGGCTACTGAGGATATGAAGCATGAAGTTATGATGGTATTTATATATGTCCAAAACCCTAAAAATTAGGGTTTGGACATCCTACGAGTATACCCAGCGTACGAGAAGTACTGTGACAACCCGATATTTCGAATCAATGTAATGACCAAAAAAGTCAAGAATCGTAATCTCTTTTTGATATAATGAAATTATCGTAAAAAATAAAATGTTTAGAAGTCTCTACTGGATTACAGAAATGATTGATATCGTGTCAAGGGTTTCAGAAATACAGAACACTAAAATCCGAGCTATAACGAGGAAGTTATGACCAACCTAAGATTTACGGCAAAACCATCGATACTGTTAAACGTAAAACACGAAGTTTCAATACAATAATTTTTAGCCTTGGGTATCTAAATTGAAATTGTACATATCATTAAACCGTAAACGTACGTGAAAAGAATGTCCAAGCCTGACTTCGTATGAGGAAGTTATGATTTTTCCAAGTTCCGGATATAGTAGTAGATAGCTAAAAACTCGAAATAGAGATCAAGAGACTTTTGGCCGAAATAACCTAAATGAAAATCGAAGATCTCAACAATGGTAGAGCAACAGTAAAAAGTCTGACGAAAATGAACGTCGGATGAAGAAGTTATGGATTTATGAAGGAATTTTCATGTCCGGCCTGTTAAAAATAATTAATTAAAAATAAATTCAAAATTAGCCAACGAAATCTAAACGATAGTTGTAGAACTTATTCTCACCTACGCGTGCATATATAGAACGTCTAAAACGGAGCTCGTACGCGGGAGTTACGTATTTTACAAGTTCGAGGCACAAAATCCTAGGTTGTCAGGATGGCCACGATGTGGCACAGATGGCCACGACGTGGGACCATGACTGATGGGGTTTCAGGTTTGGCAGCAAACGTCTCGTCCATGGAAGGGGATAGGATCGACTCCACGACGTAGGCAACCTTTTTGCAAAGACTTGGGACCCAAAAATTGGGCTATAAATAGAGCACACAGGTTTCCAGGTTTCATTGCTCAGTTCTCTTCTTTCTTGTGCCGAAGCTCTGCGTTTAAACCCTCGAAGCCATTCCGAAGCCCCGATCTTCACATCCAAGTTGCGAAGGAAGGTTTTACACTCCAGAGATCCCCATGATTCCCGAGAATCCCGAGAAATCAACATTCTTAAGTCGAAGTGCTGCTCGGTTTTCGTCTCACCTTCTTCAATCTATCAAGTGAGTTCATACCCCTATAACTACGTTTTCAAATGTTTTGTAAATGCTTTTATACACTTTTAAAGGGTGGGGGATACAAGTACAGACACATTTATCCTCGTGTGAAAAACATCAATCTTTTGGTATACTTTTTGTTATATAATAAATCATATGTGATTTTAAACTATCATACGAAAACGTTCTCATACAACATATCACGATAACACTTTTTCCTTTTGAAATGAAACCTGTTGTTATATTAATATCAAACACTTTATTTATATTTTGAGTATAAATGTTCAATAATGTTTTTAAAAATGTTATACTTTACATACAATGTCGACACTACACTAGGGTTTATCATACAAACGATTCACACATTTGGAAAAACTATAATAGGTATAGTTTGCTAGATATTCATGAGATTTTACATACTATAAGTACTATATCAAGGAAATACTTTCATATACAAGAACAAATGGACTTTTCATACGTAAACCTATTTGATACTAAGTTTTGTGAGACATTCAACTTCACGTTCTTTCAAGTATGCAGTTAAACTCATGTATTATATACCATAATATCTTGTAGGGAGAGCGTGATACTTGTGTATAGATGTATACGGGATTGAAAATGCCGCACCTAAACTGTTAGCTACAGTTAGACCGGAAGGTCTGGGGTGACAAACATCATAACATTCCAACGCCTGAAGAACGTTGTTACAGGTAGTCTGGGTCAATAGCATGGTTATAAAACTCACATAGAGTATTAAAAACACATTGATTTACGGAGTTATCAAATGCCTTAGTGATTTTATACATACATAAATCTACTATTCTAGGCATGAAAAACACTACTGCATTACAGTTTTGGAACTTTTAAACTACCACACACTTATTGAAAAATATTGGATTTCTAGAAGCAAACATTCAAAAACAGTCGGGTCTTGGTAACAGACTACTTTTATACTAGTAGGAAATATTGGATTTTCTAGGATTTTTCAAACATCTACAAACAATTTCATTCGATTTTATACAAACATTGACATTAAATACTTATGAACTCACCAGCTGCTTAAATGCTGATCTACTCGTTCAAATCTACTTGTATTTCTCAGGGATTCAGTAATACAGGTAAACTTCATCTTTTGGAGAAGTGATGCTAAGGCGTCGGTTTAAAACTCATTTTGTCATCATAT